GACGCTCCAACCGCTGAGCCAAACCGGCCAGGGCTGCCGTATACATTCTTTTTAAGTGCACATGGAACATTTGCCAATACAGACTATATTTTTTTTTTTTTTCAGACTATATTTTTAAATTTTAAAAAGATTCAAATTATACAAAGCACGTATTCTGACTCCTGGAATTAAAGTAGCAATCAATAACAGAAAGATAGCTAAAATCCCTAAATATTTGGAAATTAACATACTTTTAAATAACCCCCATGGGTTATTAAAGAGAAAATCAAAATTTTTAAAAATGGGTTTAATACTGAATTGTACAAGTATTTATGAAAGAAGTGGTACCAATTCTATATAAACTCTTTCAGAAAATAAACATTTTTTAAAAGTAGAGGACATCCAATTCAATCAGAATCTCAGATGAACAGTTAGTACTTTTTTAGTGTAAAAGTGTCCAACGCAGCATTTGGGATGTGCCTATACTAAAAAAATATTTCTTGTTTATCTGAAATCTGAATTTAATGGGTGCTTTGCGTTTTATCTGGCAACTTCACTCCCCGTGCCCCAGTGAATACCCAGAACCCCCTTCCCTCCCAGCCCTCTCGCACCTACGAGAGCCCTCACACCATTTCTCTTTGCCAGGGACGTGGCCCGGGGCTACGAGAATGTGCCCATTCCCTGTGTCAACGGTGTGGATGGGGAGCCGTGCCCTGAGGACTACAAGTACATCTCTGAGAACTGCGAGACGTCCACCATGAACATTGACCGCAACATCACCCACCTGCAGGTGAAGCACCAGAACCTCCAGAAGGGATGGCAGAGCTGCCAAGTAGAGTGGGCACCTGCAAGGGAGGGTCTGGGAAGGAGCTCCTGGGGGCTCGATCCACCTGGAGAAGGGTCCTCTTACTAGGACACATGCAGGATCATACAGGTTCATGGTAGCCCTAGGGACACACCCTCAGCAACATCCTGATTCCCCTCACTATGGGACCATCCCACCCATGATCCTGAAACATGGACCCTAGAGAAAGGGCAGCAGTTGGAGCACTGGGAGCTGAGGGGTCAGGGCCGATCCTGAGGTTGAGCTCACCCTGCCTCCCACCCAGCACTGCACATGTGTGGACGACTGTTCCAGCTCCAACTGCCTGTGCGGCCAGCTCAGCATCCGCTGCTGGTATGACAAGGTACACCCTCGCCCTGCGGCAGAGGCGCTGCTCCTCCAGAGGAGCTGGCCTCGCCTGTCCCTCACCTGCCCTGGGGGGTGGCGGCAGAGAGGGCAGGGCCAGACCTGAATTGCCAGGACACTGCTAGGAGATGGGCCTGGCCCAGCGACATGCAATTTGCGGGGTCCTATCCTCTGACCTCAGAACACATGTGATGTCCACCGGCCTGGCCTCCCTATCCCCTGTCTCCGGGTTGGGCTCAGGGGAGGATTTTTCTGTGGGGTTTTGGAGGTCCTGGACAGCTGAGGTGGGACTACACAGAAACCACTGCCCTCCCCTCCCCCAGGACGGGCGGCTGCTCCAGGAATTCAATAAGATCGAGCCCCCACTGATCTTTGAGTGTAACCAGGCCTGCTCCTGCTGGAGAAACTGCAAGAACCGCGTGGTGCAGAGCGGCATCAAGTGAGCCCCTGCGGCCCCCCTCTCCCCATGTGCATGCGCGCGCGCGCACGCACACATGCATGCACACACATGTACGCACACTCTCCCATTCGCCCAGTGTCACCCTCTTTCTCACCCCCAGGGTGCGACTGCAGCTCTACCGAACAGCCAAGATGGGCTGGGGGGTGCGCGCCCTGCAGACCATCCCCCAAGGAACCTTCATCTGCGAGTGAGTGGGGCAGGGGTGGGGAGGGACCCCTGCCACTGCTGCCTCTTGTGCCCCTCTCGCTCTCCTTTTTGACAGGTCCCGCCTCTCACTGTCCCGTTCTGGCCAGCCTCTTCTGTCCCCTACCCCCAATCCAAGCACCCCACCTGCCCCACTCTGCCCAGACCATAGAGCTGTCCATCACCACTGCCCACATCTCCTCACTTCCCAGCCTCACATACCCTCTCCCTGTCTTGTTTGTTTTTTTGTTTTGGCTTTTTGCTTTTTTTTAAATCCTCACCCAAGGATGTTTTTTCCATTGATTTTTAGAGAGAGTGGGTGGGAGGGAGAGAGAGAGAGAGAAAAAAACATCGATATGAGAGAAACACATTGATTGGTTGCCCCCCAAATGCACCCCAGTAAGGATGGGGAATCAAACCTGTAACTCTTTGGTGAGCAGGCTGGCACTCACCGCTGAGCTGCCCAGCCAGGGCACCCTGCCTTTCTGAGCTGGGGAAAGCACCAGTTTGGGAGGGGAAAACCTGGGTTTGAGCCCCACTCTGTTTCCGTGTCCTCGGCCAAGTTATTTCACTGTTTTGCGCTTAATTTTTCTTGTCAAAATGGAGGTCATACCTTTCTGTGTACCTGCAGGGCCCTCGCTCCTCTTCATCAGTTTTCTCTGCCCAGCATCTGTAACCCCTGTCCTCTGGCTCCTCCTGGCTCATGGCCTTCAAACTTATCTAGGTTCTTGGCCTTTAAAAAGAAAAAGAGAAGGAACCCATTTGCCTGTTTAGGAACCATTCGTTTTTTTGTCATGGCATCTCTCAACTTCTCAAACAAGGAGCACCTTCTTCCTGGGCCTGTTTCCCTACCATCCTCTCACAGCACATCGGCCAGAACCTGCCCTTGCCTCACCCTCTGCTGCTGCTGCCTTCTGACAGCCCCCACCCACCCCTGCTCCATGTGCCTCGGCCTCGCCCCTGGTGTCTGACCCCCCCCCCCCTTTGCCAGCTCCTCCCTCTGCTCCCCAAGTGCCGTGTCCCCGCCCCGGCTCCTGGGCTTCATCCCTTTCTACAGCCCTGACCACCCCTGTCCTTCAGCCTGTGGCTTCTTGTCCACAAACCTCCTAGTGTCTAACCCTGAGCGGTCTCCCACCCAAGCCAACTGCCCACAGGCTCATCCTCGAACCCCAGAGGCCTGGCATTCATCCCTTCACCTCCCCTGCCACGTCTCCATGGGGACCTTGCATGCCAATGTCCCCGTGTTCACTCTGGTCCCACCTCTGGAGTGGGCCACTGATCCCCTCCCGGGTGAAGTCTCCTGTCCTCTGGGCCCACTTGGGGTGACCTGGGTCACCCTTGCCAGGGCCCAGCAGTGTTCATCTCTGACATTCACGGACACTGATTGGGGCATCTGACATAGTGAAAGAGGAGCCCGTGGGGTTGAGGGGACTTGGCCTGGAGCCAGCTCCCTTGGCCCTGCTCACCTTCAGAACCACCACCTCCTGCCCAGCAGGTATGTCGGGGAGCTGATCTCCGATGCCGAGGCTGATGTGAGAGAGGATGATTCTTACCTGTTTGACTTAGACAACAAGGTGGGCAGGAGGTCCCTCTGTCCCTTACTCCATCAGCACATGGAAACCTGGGGTAGGGGGACTGGTGGTCATTGGGTGGGGCATTGGCCTGGCACTAAGGGTGGTAAATGTGAAATGTGCCACTCTTCCCTCAGGATGGAGAGGTGTACTGCATCGATGCCCGTTACTACGGCAACATCAGCCGGTTCATCAATCACCTGTGTGACCCCAACATCATCCCTGTCCGGGTCTTCATGCTGCACCAAGACCTGCGATTCCCACGCATTGCCTTTTTCAGTTCCCGAGACATCCGCACCGGGGAGGAGCTGGGGTGAGGCTGGGCTCTGCCAGGGCTGTGAGAGGGCGGCCAGGGACGTGCAGCTGCAGAGAGCCCAGCTTGCAGCCTGGCTCGGAGTGCAGCTCCAGCGGCCCTGGAGGGCGAGCTGCACAGGCCTGAGCCTCCGAGAATCTGGTTTCAATGAGTTTGGGGTGGGGCTGGAGACTACATTCAGACAGGTTCCCAGGCTTTGCTGGTGCTGCAGATCCACAGAGCATAGGAGGGTTTAGAGCCTGTCAGGAGAGGGGGTGGGTGCAAGGGTCCCTCCTGGGGAGCAGGATCCACAGGGTTCTGGAGTGGGCCTGGGCAGTCAGGTCTGGGCCCCATACGCCTCCTGCTCTGACAGGTTTGACTATGGCGACCGCTTCTGGGACATCAAAAGCAAATACTTCACCTGCCAGTGTGGCTCTGAGAAGTGTAAGCACTCCGCCGAGGCCATCGCCCTGGAGCAGAGCCGCCTGGCCCGCCTGGACCCCCACCCCGAGCTGCTGCCTGAGCTCAGCTCCCTGCCCCCCGTCAACCCCTGAGAACGGACCATGCCCTCCCTCCCCACCCATGGATGCCACCAGCCCAGCAGCTGCCTCTGTCACTTGCTGCTCACATCCACACCCTCACCGGGGGCACTGCCGTCTCTCCCACTAGCCCGTCACACATTCCCGGCCAGAGACCCCAGCCAGGCCCTGGAGGTCTGACAGCCCCTCTCTCGGGGCTGGTTCCTCCCTGGGAGAGTGACTTCAGGGCTGGCCGACCCCCGCTCCCCATCCTCAGCTAAAGTTCGATGAACTGAAATGAGCCTCTATGCCACTGGTTTCCTTTGTTCTCAATAAATGTTGGGTTTGGTAACAAAGTGCCTAGGTGATTGCTGGGGGCGGGGCGGGGAGGAAGTGCACACAGCCATGCGGAGTGTGGGTCCAAGGGGCAGCGCAAGATGGGAAGCAGACTGGACTGGGGCAGACGGCGCCTTGGGGGGCAGTGGGGACCAAGGGCATGGTCCAGTCAAGGCCTGAAAGGCAAATATAATCTTGTCTGGAGAGAATGGACTTGCATGAGGTACTTTGCAAAATTTATGAAGGATATTTGGAGCATTCCAGGCCCTTCAAGTCACGGTCCTCGGGCCACAGCTCTGGGCCTGTCCCTGGCTGGGCCTTCCTGCCCTCCACCCTCCTCCCCTTGCATGCTGAGGAGGAACTGGAGTGTGTGGGGACTGCAGGTGGAGGTGGGGCTGTGACGTGGGAGGGCGGGGCGGCGGCAGGTGTGTTGCCTGGTCTCCCCGGCTCCAATCACTCCGGAGACTGAGCCATGGGGGGAAAGCCGGATGGGGACGAGGCCTACGGTGAGGCTGGGGCAAGGCTAGGACCCTGCAGAGGGAGGGAGGCCTGGCTGGCCCCTTGGGAAATGGTGTCTGGTGCTGGCCTGGGGAGGAGCTGGGAGAGCTAACGGAAGAAGGCAGAGCCAAGGTCCTGGGAGGAGGATGGGGTTCAGGGGCCGGGGGCTATTATGAGGAGACTGGGGAGTGAAGCTGGGGTCTCCAACAGGAGATGGGCTTTAGTCTCGGGATGATGAGGCTCAGGCCCAGACCCTGGCCCCTTAGGGCAGCACCCTGGGAAGGAAGCAGCCTGAATGGAAGGGGGTAGGGTGTGGTCCTGAGGAGGGGCTGGGGCCGGGCTGGCAGTGTCCTGTGCTGGGCAGCCTGCCAGGGTGAGGGCCCTGTTGGCAGAACAGGCTGGGGCCCCTGTGGAGTTTCAGACGGGACCCTGGGTCTCTGGGGGAAGGTGCTGGGTCTCGTCACCAGGGTCTCTGTGAGCAGTGGCAGCGGAAGTGGATTGTGCTGGGGCCCCTGTGAGGAGTTGGGGCTCGGGGTCTTTAGGGAGTGGGGCTGGAGCCAGCTCCAGGTCTCTACTGGGGGTACCTTGAAGAATAGGGTCAGGGGGCTTCTTGGGTTCCCGTGAGGGGTAAGGCCTGAGGGAGAGGGAGCAAAAAGCCTGTGTCCAGAATCAACTGTGAGGGCTGGGGGCCTGTCCCAGCATCTGAGGATTCGGGGCAGGGAGGGGTGAGGGGAGAGGGAATGGGGACCAGCCTGGGGGTCTCTGCGAGCAGTGAGGGCTGGGGGCCTACCTGCACAGGTCCCTTGGGGTTTAGGGATCTAAGCCCCTGTTCTGGAGGGAAGGGAACCCTAAGGGAGGGGCCTCCCAGAGGGGAGGCTTGGGCCCCAAAGTGGGCTAGGGAAGGAGCAGTGAGAACTTCCCAGGGGACTTCCTGGAACAGCTTCGGGTCAATCATTGACCTCAGGTCCTCACGTCCGAGAGCCAGGTGGGGACAGAGTCCAGAGCACCTGCAGAGAATGGACCCCCTCTGCCCACACCTCTGCCCAGCCTCCCACCCTCCCTCCTCGGTGCCACGAGGGACCTGGGTGCCTGGCCCCACTTCCTCCCTGTGTGTACTCAGGGAGGACCAGGAACAAGCTCAACCACCCAGCTCAGGTGTCACTCTCATTTGATTGCTTGCCCAGAAACTGGCCGTGACCTGGACACTGAGCCCCCTTCAGGTGGGGTTCTGCAGGGAGCTTCCTCCTTCCCCAGGCCCCGCAGGAGTTGATGACTTTGGCTCTAGTTTCTTTCCTCATGGCCTTGAGCTAGAGTTGGGGTCTGAGGCAGATCTAGGGGCTATGACCTCCCTGAGGGGCTCCATCTGTGCCCACCCTGGACAGGGCGCAGGGAGGGAGAGGGACGAGGATTGGAGCGTGAGGACCACCGAGATTACTGGAGACACGGGGTCCACAGAACAACTGTAGGAGGCTCAAGAGAGATGGACCAGGAAGGGGACAAGAGGCCAAGGCTATTCTCTTGGCTGCTGGCCTCCAGGTGTGAGCTGGAAATGACCCATAAAGGCCCACTCCCGTCCCTCCAAGGCCACCTGGGTGGATTTATGGTGGCCAGGTCTTGATCCTACTTTTCTGGCTCTCCAGTTTCCCCTCCTGCCCGTCTTGCCCCAGTCCATTTCCCTGAATACCCCTGAAGGCAGGTAAAGACTTGAGGGAGCAGGAAATGGGGAGAGACTCCTCTGAGTGCCTCACACTCCACACTGCTCCCTGTTATCCTCAGGGAAACCAGTCAAATATGACCCTTCCTTTCGAGGCCCCATCAAGAACAGGTGAGTTCTGGGGACTGCACTGTGGGGGGGCAAAGGTGTCTTGCTTTTGTTATGTATTTGCTGAAATATTGGTAAGAAGTTCGTGAAGGGGGGATGAGGAGAAGGGAGTCAATGGGGTAAAAAAGAAGAAACATCTGTAACAGAAATAAAATTTTAAAATAATAATAAATTTTTTTACATTAAAAAAAAAAAAGTTTGTGAAAAAGAAAACTCCTGTCCCAGGGGAGTGGGTGCAGCTTCCAGTGCTAGAGGTGTTCTGGCTCGCGCCCTGCCCTTCGGAAACCCATCCGGCTGAGCGCGTAGTCGTGCATTTTCCTGTATACTGCAGAGGAAAGTTTACCCACCCAGAAAAAGGTTTTCTTAAAAAAAAATAGCCCTGGTCGGTTTGGCTCAGCGGTTAGAGTGTCGGCCTGCGGTCCGGAGAGACCCGGGTTCAGTTCCCCCTGAGGGCACGTACCTCGGTTGCAGTTTGTCCCCGGCCCTGGTTGGGTCCTGCGGGAGGCAGCCACTCAATGTGTCCCTTTCACGTCGATGTTTCTCTCTCTCTCTTCCCCCCTCTCTCCCTCCCGCTCTGAACAAAAAATGGAAAAATGTCCTCCGGTGAGGATAAAAAAATAAGTGAATAAAACCTGCTGATGCCCATCCCCAGCACCCCCGGCGCTCCTCCCCAAATGCTCCTCTGTCTCTCTCCAGGAGCTGCACAGATGTCATCTGCTGCGTCCTCTTCCTCGTCTTCATTCTGGGTTACATTGTGCTAGGGATCGTGGGTAAGCTTCCAGCTGCGCGGAACTGGCGCAGTGGCTGGGGTGCAGTAACCCGGGGGACCAAAGCCATGGCTGCTCCCTACAAAGCTCCTGCCTCCAGTGATTTTTCTGTGTCTCTGTGTCCAGCTTGGATGTATGGAGACCCCCGGCAAGTCCTCTACCCCAGGAACTCTACTGGGGCCTACTGTGGCCTGGGGGCGAACAAGTGAGTGTGGACGAGGGGCAAGAGGACGGTGAAGGTGGGATGGGCAGGGGACCCCCAACATCCAGGCTCCAGACCTTTCCCTGTTGTTCTCCCAGTCCTCCCCACCTCCCTGAATCTCACCCCACCCCACATTGGGCAGTCTCCATCACTGGACAGTTGGCTTACGAGCCCCCAAAATTGCGAGGCAATGTAGAGTCATGGTTAAGTGCATAGGTTTTAGACTTCAGAGATTAGCCGTTGAACCCCAAGTGGGATTCTGACTGCGTGGCCTTTGGCAAGGTGCTCAGCGTCTCTGGGCTTTGACTTCATCTGAAACTCAAGGACGATCTCAGGAGTGACGCGATCAGCCCTCACGGGCAGGAAATGCTCAGTCAACAACAAAACCTCTAGCACTTATATGGCGTTGGTGTGTTCCTGACAGGCAGTGTACTTTATACACACAGAATCATTTAAAGCCTATAAAGTGGGTACTGCTATTTACCCATGATGGAACTCAGGTGTGAGCAGTTAAGTGACTTGCTCAAGGTCATAAATCTGGGTGGTGATTTGGCTTGAGCTCATGTGCTTACCCATTTGTGAGCGTGAATTTGCTCAGCTCTGTCGGAACCATCTGCGATGCTGAATGACTGGGAAATCTTTCGGTGTCACTTATACCACCCAGCTGGACTGAGTATCCTGAGGCCAGGAGCTAGGTGGTACATGTCTGGGCCACCTGGGCCCACTGCAGCCTGGAGGCGAGGCCCGGCTGTCCCCTGGCCAGGCCCTGACGCGTGTACTTCCTCCCTGCCTACAGAGATAAACCCTATCTCCTGTACTTCAACATCTTCAGCTGCATCCTGACCGCCAACATCATCACAGTCGCTGAGCACGGCCTGCAGTGCCCCACACCCCAGGTCAGAGCCTGGGGCCTGCCTCTGCCCAGATCTCCCCCAGGTCTGGTAAGAGCCCCTCAGCATGCTCTCTGCTCCCAGGTGTGTGTGTCCTCCTGTCCAAATGCCTCATGGACCGTGAATAAAAATGAGCTGTCACTGAAGGTCGGGGAGGTGTTCTACGCAGCAAACCGCAATGTGTGTCTGCCAGGGGTGCCCTGGGATATGGTGAGTGCTGCCCCAACGTCATTGCTGTCATCAAGGAGGGGCCACATAGGTGGAGGTGCAAGGGGGAGTTGGATAGACTGACTGTGGTGGTGGGGGGTCACTCCTTCTTCCTGCTCTGTGACTGTGTGTCTGTCCCTCCTCCCCACCCCCAGCCTGTACTACAGAGCCTGGAACAGGAGCTCTGCCCCGGTTTCCTCCTCCCTTCCACTCCAGGTGAGAAGCCCACTCCTTCCTCAGGCATCAGCTAGTCCTGTACTCTGATTGCTCAGATGAGGAGACCAGGCCCAGAGAGGGAAGGCACAGAGCCGGGCTGCAGCAGTTCCCCGTCCGCCGCCGGGCACGGGGACAGCTGTAGGGACACGGCAGCTGTTCCCGGGGGGGGGGCCACGTGCCGGTGGGAAGATCAGAGGTCTTCACAAAGAATGCGAAGGGACCCACGAAGACACGCATAGTGAAGACAGACCAGAAGTTCATCCAAAAGCTACAGATGAATGTGGCTGGGCGGTGGGATCACAGTTGACTATTTTTTAATTCTGTAGGCTCTTCTTTCTAATAGTAAATTTATTATTATTTTAAAATATGTGTTTATTGATTTTTTAGAGAGAGAGGAAGGGAGAGAGAGATAGAAACATTGATGTGAAAGAAAAACATCCATCAGCTGCCTCCTGTGCACCCCCTACTGGGGATGGAGCCCACAGCCCAGGCCTGTGCCCTGACTGGGGATCGAACCTGGACCTCTCAGTCCATGGGACAACGCTCAATCCACTGAGCCACACCAGCCGGGCATAAATTGATTTTGTTTTAATAACCAAAAGATTTTAAAGATTTTAAAAAATTGATGTTTAGAGAGAAAAGAAGGGAGAGGGAGAAAGAAACATCGACATGAGAGCAAGACATTGATCAGCTGCCCCCTGCACACCCCGACTGGGGATCGAGCCCACAACCCGGCCTGGCCCTGACCGGGGGTGGAACTGGCAACCTTTTGGAGCACTGGCCGATGCCCAACCAACTGAGCCACACCGGCCAGTTGTTATTTTTTAAAGGAAAAAAATTTTAAATTATAGCATGAGAAAAGATATCCAGTTCTCACCATAAGTCCAATAGGAAGTATCTCAAATGAATGCTCCCAAGTTAGACCTGGATTTAAATTTCAGCACTTTCTAGCTGTGTGGTCTTGGGTCAGGTACTCAACCGCTTTGAGCGCTGTTTGCCACCTTTAGAATATCAATGCCAAAGCAAGTCTACCTGGCAGCGTTGTGGTAAAGGTGATGACAAACGCTGTAGGCCAAGTAATAGATGCTGCGGGAAATGGCATAAGCCTGGAGGAGGTGAGCTGAAGACGGGGACGCAGCAAGAGTTAAGGTCCAGCCCTGGCCGGCGGTTGGAGCGTCGGCCTGCGGACCAGAGAAAACGGGTTCGGTTCCCGCTAAGGGGCACGTACCAAAAAAATAAATAAAGACGCCAAATCTAAAAAGCTACCACCATTTTTAAAATAATAAAAAGAGTTAAGGTCCAGAGGTGAGGGGAAGTGGCTGTGCTCAGACAGGGGCGCTTTGAACCTGGTGTGAGGTGAACATTGTCCAGGGCAGAGCCTCTGGAGGTGTCTGAGCAGCAGAGGGACCTCGAGCCTCGGAGCGATGAGGCCCGTGCGCGGCCTGGTCTCCCTGGCACTCAGGCAGAGGGTGGGCTGATGGAGGGCAAAGCTGGGCGAGGAGGTGTTCTAAGAGTAGCACAGAGCGGAGGAGGGTGTGACAGGAGCAGCCCAGGGAGGGGAGAAAGGGCACAATAAGGGACAGTGAAGGAAGAGTGGTCTGGGCTCCATGGGCAGGAGCTCCCTTTCGGCTGTAGGATCAAGAGCAGCTCTCTGAGGGGAGCAGACCCCATCTCTCTCCCTCCCCTGAGGGCCTGTGGGCTAAGGTGGGGCCAGAGGTTTTCCAGGCAAAGCTCTGCCCACCCACCCAGTAGCTGGCTCTCTCCCTCCAGCTCTGGGGCGATGCTTTCCACATCCCAACAGCACTCAGTTCGAGCTCCCAGGGATCTCCGGCAACACCTCCATCAACCAAGGGATCAGGTGGGTTCCTCCTGCCTCCACATCGCTGTCCCCCCACCCCACAGCCCTGTCTGACTCTTGTCTTTCCCCACAGTGGTGTTCTTGGCAGCCTCAATGCCCGTGACATCAGTGTCAAGATCTTTGAAGATTTTGCTCAGTCTTGGTACTGGATTCTTGTGTGAGTCACCAGATCCCCCTCCTTTTTCCTTTCGTTCTCCCTCCCTGATCCTCACCCTCCAGCCCAGTGTCTGAAACCAAGTCTTTAGACAAGGGAAGAGGAACCAAAGCTCAGAACGGACCCCAAGCCAACAGGATTTATAATAGAAAGGGGATCTAATCTGAGGACTCTAGGGGTATGAGGAAAGGCATTTGGGGACCAGGGTGACCCTCACCAACTGCGTCCTGCCTACAGTGCCCTCGGTGTGGCTCTGATCCTGAGCCTGCTGTTTGTCCTGCTCCTGCGCCTGGTGGCCGGGCCCCTGGTGCTGGTACTGATTCTGGGGGTGCTGGGGGTGCTGGCATATGGCATCTACCACTGCTGGAAGGAGTACCAAGTGCTGCGGGACAACGGTGCCTCCATCACCCAGCTGGGCTTCACCACCAACCTCAGCGCCTACCGCAGTGTTCAGGAGACCTGGCTGGCGGCCTGTGAGTACCCTGCCCCCTCCATGCCAGCTGCCAGCTACCCTGGCCCTGACCGCGCCTCTCTGCCCCTGTCCACCCCCAGTGGTCGTGCTGGCTGTACTGGAAGGTCTCCTGCTGGTCACACTCATCTTCCTGCGGCAGCGGATCTGCATCGCCATCGCCCTCCTGAAGGAAGCCAGCAAGTCAGTGCCTGGCAGAGGGCAGAGGGAAGGGGTGTGGCCGGTGGGCATGCTGGGCAGGTGGCAGGGAGCCCTGGAGGAGGAGGGCAGAATCATGCAGTGGTTAACACTGCTGTGTGACAGCCTTTCTGAGCCTCAGCTCACCTATCTGTAAAGTGGGAGTGATAGTCATACCAACCTTGTAGGGTTGTCCAGAGGATGGCGTGCTTAGTGTCTCACCAAGTGCCTTGAGCACAGAGCAGGCCCTCCAGAAACACTGGGCACAGCGCATTCGGGTGGAATGGTGGGAATGAAGGCAGGGAGGAGAAGCAGAGCTCGCTCCTAGCCCTAAGCTGCGCAGTCCACCAACACACCAGACTTTGAGGACTCTTCCCTTCCTTTCCCTGAAGCTGCCCCAGGTGGCCTCTCTGAGCCTGAGTCCTTGAATTCAGTTCACTTAGGGAGCACTGTGAGTGTGCGGCCTGGGGGTGGCGCAGGCCCTGCGGGCAGAGGTGGAGCCCGGGCCCTGGTGCTGGCGGACAGCGCTCATCTCCCTGCAGGGCCGTGGGACAGATGATGTCTGCCATGCTCTACCCGCTGGTCACGTTCGTCCTCCTGCTCATCTGCATTGCCTACTGGGCCATGAGTGCTCTGTATCCTTTGCCCACATAGCCAGCCCTGCTGGGCCCCGTGGGGTGGAGGGCAGAGAGGATGACACTCACACAGCACCTTAATGCAATGGGAAGAAGGCACCCTTCCTCTGGGCTACACAGCCCCAGCCCCGGACACAGCTGGAAGAGCAAGCGCAGGCTGAGTTCCAGCCCCTGGGCCACAGAACATCCTGCACGAGCACCTGGGAAGGGGTCCCTAAGGAGGGCACCTGTAGAGATCTCATGTAACCATGTTTTCCTTGACTTCCCTCTGGGTACCTGGCCACCTCCGGACAACCACAGTACGTCCTCTGGGCACCCAATGTCAGCTTAGCCAGCTGTGAGAAAGTGCCAATAAATGCATCATGTGACCCTATGGTGAGGGCGTTGGGGGATGGACACCGAGGGGCACCAATAGGGCTAAGGGGACCTTAGGGGCAAATGCTTCATTGTGCTGTGGAGACTGAGGACCAAAGAGGGGCTCCCTCGAGGTCACAAAACAGGCCCCCAGCAGAGCCCAAAAGGGGGAGTAGTCGTGCCCCTGAGCCAGGGAAGGACACTGGGGCTGGAGGGGAAGGCATGCTATGCCTGAGGGCAGGGCCAGGCCTCAGGAAGCTGCACACCAGAACCCACGCTCCTCAGGGTGTCCCTCTGCCAGGAGGACCATAAACAACCCCACCCACCAGGTCTCAGTCCACTCCTCCATAAAGTGGAGCTAATCATGACGCCGCCAGCTCAGGGTGAGGAGACCATTCAATGACCTTGGGCACATAGCGTGCTTAGTACAGCCAGCACCTGATAAGAGCTGACAACTATGGGTTTTGTTTGATTGTTTTTTGATCTTCCTCCCTCAGAACACAATACTAGGCAATAGGCAGGTGGGGTGCCCTGGGGGTCTGGGAGAGAAGTTGCCAGAGGCTCCATGAGGTCCCCAGGGAGTGGCACTGGACCTCTGAGAACTGACCATCCTCAAAGCTTTCATGTGGCCGCCTGCTCTGGGCTGGGACTCAGGGCCCTGCCCACAAGCATTCACCCTACTGATAAAGGAGCAGGAGGTTTGCTCACATTTATGAAGGTCCCATATGTGCCAGGCATTGGGTGTGCAAAGCCCTAAATGACCTGGTTCTTGCTTTCATCTTGCTCAAGATCTAGCAGTAGAGACTAACACAAACCCACAGTTACATACAAATGCAAAGTGGCTTGTTTTCTTATTATAAAATTTTAAATTCTTTTCTTTATTGATTTTAGAGAGAGAGGGAGATAGAAACATCGATGAGAGAGAACATCTATTGGCCACCTCCTGCATGCCCCCCACTGGGGATCGGGCCCACAACCTGGGCATGTGCCCTGATCGGGAATCGAACTGTCGACCTCCTGGCACAAGGGTTGACACTCAACCACTGAGCCACACCAGCCGGGCTTTATAAAATTTCAAACATACACTCAGTTTCAGCAATTATCAGGCTGTTGTCACATATGCTGGAAAGGGTTGGGTTTTTGTTGTTTGTTTTTTTAATTTGTATTTATTGATTTTAGAGAGTGAGGAAGAGAGAGAGAAAAAATATATCAATTTGTTGTTCCATTTACTTATGCATTTATTGATTGTTGTATGTGCCTTGACCGGAGATCGAACCCGCAACCTTGGCAAATTGGGGCAATGCTCCAACCAACTGAGCTCCCTGGCCAGGGCTCTGAAGGGTTGTTTTTTTTGGTACGTGCCCCTAGCAGGAACCAAACCCGGGACTCTCTGGTCCGCAGGCCAACGCTCCAACTGCTGAGCCAAACCGGCCAGGGCTGAAGGGTTGTTTTTTATCTCTGTGCTTTTTACTTGTTATTTTGGAAATTTTCAAACACACGCTAAGTTTAGAATCCCTGTACCCACCTTTGACTTTCTCATTTCATCCATCTCACCACCCAACCCCCACCCCTAGTCTCAATTTTTTTTTCTAGAGTTTAAAGCAAATTCTGGAAATCGTGCCACTTCACTTGTAAACACATCAGGATGGATCTTAACAGATAAGAACTTTTAAAAAGCATAACCACTATAATCATTATCAAACCCAACAAAATTAACAATAATTCCTTAATATCATCTGGTATCCAGTCTCTTCAATTTTGTTGGAAAGTGTTTTGGTTGAAGTTGCAGAGGCTGGTCTGGGAGGAACTGCTGATTGAATGCCAGGCTCTTCAGAGCTAGGCACTGGCCACAAGGCTTCCCACACACCATTAAGGCCTGGCCCACGTGGCCTGGGAGCTCCTGTGCCCACCCAGAGACTGAAAGAAGTGAATTCTGCTCACACAGTAAACGCAGCTTGAACCTGGAGATGAATCTCCTGGAACCAGCTTGGGGAGGCGGTTACTTCTTTCCCTCTGCTCTGGGAGAGGCAAGAGCTGGCTGGATATGAACATGTTCTGTGCTCCGCAGGCTGAGCCCATGAACTCCTCGTGCCCAGGGCTGATGTGCGTCTTCCAGGGCTATTTGTCCACAGGCCTGGTACAACGTTCTCTTTTCAACTTGCAAATATATGGGGTCCTGGGGCTATTCTGGACCATCAACTGGGTCCTGGCCCTGGGCCAATGTGTCCTGGCTGGGGCCTTTGCCTCCTACTACTGGGCCTTCCACAAGCCCCAGGATATCCCCACCTTCCCCCTGAGCGCTGCTTTCCTCCGCACACTGCGGTAAGCCTTGGGCTGGGGGCTGGGGATTGTGAGCCTGGGAGTCCTAGCGGTCCCTGGGCTGCCTCTGACTGCCTAATCCCTCTGCAGGTACCACACCGGGTCGCTGGCCTTTGGGGCCCTCATCCTGACTCTTGTGCAGATAGCCCGGGTCATCTTGGAGTACATTGACCACAAACTGAGAGGTGAGTTAAGGTCAGGGACTTCTCAGCTAGGTCCTTGGGGAGAGGTTTTCAGGGCCAGTGTCCAAACCTGAGCTCTGGCCCCCAGGAGTCCAGAACCCTGTGGCCCGCTGCATCCTGTGCTGCTTCAAGTGCTGCCTCTGGTGTCTGGAAAAGTTTATCAAGTTCCTGAACCGCAATGCATACATCATGGTGAGCCCACTGCTCCAGGGCCCCTTGGCCAGATTCCCCCACCCTGGCCCAGGTGAGCTCTCTACAGGTAACTCTAACCTTTCCACCTCACCCAGATTGCCATCTATGGGAAGAATTTCTGTGTCTCAGCCAAAAACGCCTTTATGCTGCTCATGCGGAACATTGTCAGGTCAGGCTGTCCCCGCCCTGTGGTCTCCCAGGCATGCCGGCTTCATGGGCATGCTGTGCTCAGAAGGGCCTCGCTCGCTTCAAGTTCTGCTGCCTCCATCCTGAAATGTGAACAATTTTCATTTTGCCTGTCATGGCAAATGATGTAGCTGGTTCTGTTCCCAGTCCTGCTGGGCCCTCACCCCCAACCTACCCAATCCCCATGCAGGGTGGTCGTCCTGGACAAAGTGACAGACCTGCTGCTGCTCTTCGGGAAGCTGCTCGTGGTGGGAGCTGTGGGTACGGGCCAGGAGGGCAGTTACAAGGACGGGGCAGGGGTGCCGGGAAGCTGCAGAGGTGGCCTTAGAGCACTGACACTGACCTCTCCCACAGGGGTCCTGTCCTTCTTTTTTTTCACGGGTCGCATCCTGGGGCTGGGTAAAGACTTTGAGAGCCCCCACCTCAACTATTACTGGCTGCCCATCATGGTGAGTGACTCCTCCTCTCTGTCTCACCCCCTAATTCTCCAAAGAAACCCTAACAGGTCTGTATCTTCCAGACCTCCATCCTGGGGGCCTACGTCATCGCCAGCGGCTTCTTCAGTGTTTTTGGCATGTGTGTGGACACGCTTTTCCTCTGTTTCTGTGAGTGACACCCCTACCACCTGCCCCCAACTTCAAGGTACAGGCTGTTCGGGCTTTTTTGAAGGCTTAGTGTTTCTAGAAACAGGCTTTATGAGTCAAAGAAGCCAGAGCCAGAGGGAGCCTCTCCTGACATCCTCAGGCCAAGGGTTTGCGGGAGGAAGACAGGTGTGAGCTCCCAGGCTGGTGGGCTATTCCAAGAGAGAGCATGGGGGAGAGCCCTCCGGGTGCCCTCCCCGGGGGCCTGGGGTGCGGCGGCGCCTTCCCGGCGGGCTCTGCGCGGAGCAGTGGGCGCGCTTTCCCCGTTAGTCCTGGTCACGGTGTGAAGCGCACTGTTACCGATCCCACTTTACGAGGAGGAACCTGAGGTTACATACCCACCCAGTAAACTACCAGACGGCCCGCGAACAGCCGGCAGGGCAGCCCGGACCCTGCAGCCGGCCTCGGGTCGCGGGGCTGCCGCGAGCGCGGGCGCCCCGGGTCGGCGCTAACGGGTCTGTTGCGGCTCAGTGGAAGACCTGGAGCGGAACGACGGCTCCCCGGACCGGCCCTACTACATGTCCAAGTGCCTCCTGACGATTCTGGGCAAGAAGAACGACGCGCCCCCTGGGGACAAGAGGAAGAAGAGAGAGACGCGGCCCTGAGCTAGGGCTGCCCCTGTCTCTACGGCCTTCCAGCCCCACCCCGCCTTGCAGATCTTGATTTTGTAGTAAAAATATTTTACTGAAGATTGATATTTTGTTTTCCTACAAAGTCTGGTACTGCTTTTATTCCGTCTTTCACAATAAGAGACCCTTTTCTCCCCCGCCTGGCACTTTAAAATAGGCCCCGCCCCATGTCATGCCCTAGCTACTGCGACCAATCAAAAGGCTTCTGAGGAGTCCTACCCGCCCCTTCCTCATTTCCACCGGTCACGCGCTCCAGGGCTTCAAAGGGGGCCAATAGGAGGGCTAGCCTGGAGGAGCTGAAGGGTCACGTGGAGAGAGGCTGGTTACAGTCGCCGAGGCGCCGCGGAGCGACACCTGACTGTTTAAAGGGCCGGTCGGCTGACTGACTCCAGCCTGGGTTTAATCCTGGGGGCAAGGGTCGCGGCCGCCACGAGGGAGAAATGACAGGCGAGCGACCCAGCACGGCGCTCCCGGGCGGCCCTGAGGGACTGTGGGTGCTGGGGCTCGGGGGAGCCTGCAGGGTTCGGATATTTGCCGCGATCTTCCGGCTGCTGCTGTCTGCGGCAGCGGTCGGGGCTGGGGTCGAGACCGACTTCAGCCTGGTGAGTCCGCCCGCGCGCGTGGTCTGTGCGCGCTTGCCCCTCAGCCCGCGGCGGTGGAGCCCTCTGCCGCGGGGACGCGTCCCCTCCGTCCGCTCCCAGCCCCTCCCCGGCCTCAGGCCCGTGTCCTCCTCCTCATTGGAGCCCCTTCCCCGTTTGGGGTCCCCTCCTCTCCCCGAGGGCGCCTTCTCCCCTCGCAGCCCCTCCGCCCCTCCTAACCCCCAGCTTCCCTCCAAACTCTGCTCTGGGTTCCCCTTCCTTGTTCCGGGACCCCCGCCCCAATCGAGATCCCTACCACCCTGCCTCTCCCAGGGGAGCCTGACTCAGCCGCTGTTCAGCCGTCGCCAAACCCCACGTCAGGTTTGTGCGCGCTGACCGTTCCTCCCGTCGCAGGTGCAGCCGCTGGTGACCATGGAGCAGCTGCTGTGGCTGAGCGGGAGGCAGATCGGTTCGGTGGACACCTTCCGCATCCCGCTCATCACAGCCACTCCTCGGGGCACTCTTCTCGCCTTCGCGGAGGCCAGAAAAATGTCCACATCGGATGAGGGAGCCAAGTTCATCGCTATGCGGAGGTCCACAGACCAGGGTACAGAGATGCCCGCGTCACAAGAGCCGGTGCTAGGTTGGGAGTGGAGGTGGAGGGGAGCCTGACCTGCCCAAGGACTCGGGATGGGGCAGCTTAGAGGGCTGGAAGCTTGAGTCCCTGGGGTAGAGAGGGAACCTAAGGAGAGAAGGCATTCGGGACAGTGATCTGGAAATTGGGACACCAAGGAGTTGCACATTTATTCAAACATTTATCAAGTATATACTGTTGTAGGTTCTGTGAATACAGTTATAAACAAAACAGCAAAAAAAACCTGCCCTCACAGGGCTTGTATTCTACTGGGGGGAGACAGACAATAAGCATAATAAGTAGTGTATTTTTTGTGTGTTGGAAGGTGATAAATGCAATGGTGAAACATAAAACAAAATAAAAAGTATGGGGAGTGCCAGAGTTTGATGGCAGTTTTCAGTAGGTGACATTTGAGCAGACTCGAAGGAGTGACAGAGAAAGCCTGGAGGAAGAGTGTACCAGGTAGATGTGTAAAAGCCTTAGGACTGAAGTGTTTGAAGAACTTGTGTGGCCCAATGGAGTGAGTGAGGGTAGAATAGTTAAGGTCAAAGAGGTAAGGAGGGGCAGGTCTTGTAGGCCCTGGGGCCCTAGCGGGAGGTGAAGGTTACAGGGAGTGGTGGAAAGGGCACAAGGGCTCATCCTGGGTTTCTCCCCTTTTTTCTTCAGGTAGCACATGGTCTCCTACAGCATTCATTGTGGACGATGGGGAGACCCCAGATGGGCTGAACCTGGGGGCAGTGGTGAATGATATTGAGACAGGAGTGGTGTTCCTCTTCTACTCCCTCTGTGCTCACAAGGCTGGCTGCCAGGTGGCCTCCACCATGTTGGTGTGGAGCAAGGATGATGGTGTCTCCTGGAGCCCACCCCGGAACCTTTCCTTGGATATCGGCACTGAGACATTTGCCCCGGGACCGGGCTCTGGCATTCAGGTCTCTGTCCTGCGATGGGTGGAGGGGGCTGCCTGGTGGAGAGCCTGGGAGATGCCCCAGAATGGACTCCTTCCCAAGGAGAAGATCCTGTGACGTCAGAGTTTCTGTCTTAGATGGGATCCTTTGGAAGAAAGGGACATCCTGGGAGGAATGGGAAGATGGAACTTCCCACTTGGTGGCTGTCAACAGGGCTGCAAATTAGGAAAAAAACACCCCTTCTTTTGAGCAGACGCAAATCTGTGCCCTGGCGCACAGCTTGGCGAGTGAGCACACCAAATGTATGAAGAAGTTCCCATCCACCCCAGCAGCTGGGTTCCCTTGTCTTAGGCACAACCTGTCCAGCATAGGCCCTGGAAGTCCCGAAAGAGCTTATTCCGCAAAAGAGCTTCTTAATTCAGGCAGTGGCTGTTTGTGAGATCTGTCTGGGACTCTTGGCAAGCAAGGACAGAACTGAAGGGGGCAATGTGGGTCCTCACATTTAGGATGTGGGGGGTTCCCCTTCCCTGCCTCAGAGCCCCGCTCAGTGTCTCCCTCTGTGACATCCAGCTCCCTCTCCCACAGAAACAGCGGGAGCCACGGAAGGGTCGGCTCATCGTGTGTGGCCATGGGACGCTGGAGCGGGATGGCGTCTTCTGCCTCCTCAGTGATGACCACGGCGTCTCCTGGCGCTATGGCAGTGGGGTCAGCGGCATCCCCTATGGCCAGCGCAAGCAGGAAAATGATTTCAACCCTGATGAGTGCCAGGTCAGGAGTCCCTGGGTGGTTCCCCAGCATGCCACCTGCCCTGTTCTCCAGAGCACCATTTCACTCACAAAGCCAGGGTCTGGTTCCCAGCTCTGCGCCACGGGTCTTGCTCACTCAGGGACAGCCCCTGTCCTGGGTCTTTCTGAAGCCCTGTTCTCTCTCTTCAGCCCTATGAGCTCCCAGATGGCTCAGTTGTCATCAATGCCCGGAACCAGAACAACTACCACTGCCACTGCCGGATTGTCCTCCGCAGCTACGATGCCTGTGATACACTGAGGCCCCGCGATGTGACTTTCGACCCTGAGCTTGTGGACCCTGTGGTTGCTGCAGGTGCCGTAGCCACCAGCTCCGGCATTGTCTTCTTCTCCAACCCAGCCCATCCAGACTTCCGTGAGTGTCTGCCCGGTGGGGTGGGCAGGGAGCCCATTGTCTCGCGAAGGCCTGAGCAGAGACCTTCCTTTCCTGACTCTGCTGCTGTTCCCAGGAGTGAACTTGACCCTGCGCTGGAGCTTCAGCAATGGGACCTCATGGAGGAAAGAGACAGTCCAGCTGTGGCCAGGGCCCAGTGGCTACTCATCGCTGGCAGCCCTGGAGAGCCGTGTTGGTGGGGAGGAACAGGACCCCCAGCTCTTCATCCTGTATGAGAAAGGTCGGAACTACTACACAGAGAGCATCTCCCTGGCCAAAGTCAGCGTGTATGGGACACTCTGAGCTGTACACCTGCCACGGGGTAGAAGGCCCTGGACTCAGCCTTCAGGACCATGGACCTATAGAGGGTCTGCTGGATGTGTCCAAAAGATACTTCCACCTTCCTTTAGCCTCTAGCCTTTTGCAAAATCAACTTTTCTTTGACAGGGATATCACTCCATTAGGACTCAAAGCCTGGCTGCTTCTCCCACACAGGAAGTCCTGCCCCCGCCTGGGAGTGCTTCCTTTCCATATCACTGGGGCTGGCCCTACCCTTTCTGCCATCCCCGGACATTGATTGGTCCTTTTCTTGAGCGGGGCTAGGTGGGCCTGTAGAACTGAATACATGTGAACTCAGGGAATGGAGGAAGGCTGAGCTCGCTTCCTCTTTGAGGTAAGATAGTGGCTTTGGAGAGGGCTGGTGAAGGGGCCTGGGAGCGCAGGATGTTTGCTCTCAGGATAAGGGACTAGATGCACCACCAACCTGGACTATTTATGGATCAAAATGTTTGTAACACAACATTTTTAATGAAGGAGAACAAACAGAGTCTGGTTCTGTCAGTGTCCGTCTTCATGTCTGTGTCACTGTGTATGCCGTGGGGCTGGGAGTGAGCTCTGGGGAGGAATCTGGTGAGCTGTGGCCTGTGAACATCTGACTTTGGCAAATCGAACTCTCCTTTCCCTTTCACATCCTTTCTCCTCACAGAAAAGCAGACTGACCTTCACAGGTATGACGCACAGTTGGAGGGGACCCCATGAGATATTTGAAATCTGCTATGTTTGTATTTCTAAGATGAGTGGGTACTGTCCTCCACAAGATGGAACAGGTGTGCTCAGTACAGGTGACATGCCTGTCCCAGGTCAGCCTGGCAGAGAATAAACACTGGAACAAATCATGGGAGAAAACAGCACGTTCATTCCACAGCAGGTGCTAGGGAAAGAACCTGGGTGGCTGCAGACAAGTGGGGGAGCTACAACTTCCCTCCCAATGGAAAGGAAATACAGCACCTAGACATGGTAAGAATGTCTCTCGCGCCCCGGCTGGTGTGGCTCAGCTGGTTGGAGCATTGTCCTGCACCCTGAAGGGTGGTGGGTTTTGATTCCCGGTCAGAGCACATACCCATTGCAGGCTCGATCCCCAGTCGGGGTGTGTGTGGGAGGCAACTGATCAATGTTTCTGTCTCACATCAATGTTTCTCTCTGTCTCTCTCCCTTCCTCTCTCTAAAATCAATGATTTTTTTTGTTTTTGTTGTCTTTTTTTCTTATAGAACCAACTTTTATTTTTTTACTTTTATTTAAGGACAAACTTTCAATAAAATCAATGTTTTAAAATGTAAAAAAAAAAAAAAAAGTCTCTCACATAAAGAGATGAGGGCCACATTCATTTGCAGCTGGAGGTTTGTTTCCTGTTCAGCTGCTCCTCCAGCGAATGCCAGGGTGGCCCTCCGGAGCTGGTGGGCGCAGTGAGCAATCAGTGTGGAGACTGTCATCTGTGAGCAGCAATGTAATGCTTCAAGTTTTTGTAGACATTTTCAGAAACTCGCAAAAGTAAGTTGCTTAATGAGTCCCATGTACCGAACATCTAGTTTCAACAGTTGTTAAGGTATTGCCACATTGCTTCTGATCCTTTTTTCTGTTCCTCTCCTTTGCTGAAGTATTTTAAAGCCAATGCGAGACCTCATGACATTCAGCCTTTCATTCTTTTTTTTTTGTGGTACATGCCCCTAGTGGGAACCGAACCCGGGACTCTCTGGTCCGTAGGCCCAAGCTCCAACCACTGAGCCAAACCGGCCAGGGCTGCATCTCATTCTTTAAAACAACATTTGTTATATAACCATAATGCCATTGCACACTCAAAACATGAACAATAACACTGTCATCCAATAACCAGTCATATTCAAATTTCATGTCTCAAAAATGTCTTATTTGTAGTTGATTTGTTCAAATCAAGATCCAAAGAAAGTCTACATAATTGCATTCTGATGTCTCCTAAGTTTAACCTACAGTAGGTAGTCCACTTACTCTCTCCTTAAGTACCACCTATGCAGAAATAGAGTCATTTCTCCTGTGGACCGCTCCACTCTCTCGATTCGTTAGAGGATCAGAGCGTCATTTAACTTCTTCCTCCATTCCTTGTATTTCCAGTTCTCAAACCTGAAGTTTTTTTTGTTGTTTTTTTTGGTTTTTTGGGTTTTTTTTGTTTTTTATCCTCACCCGAGGACATTTTTTGTTCAGGTAGAGCGGGAGGGAGAGAGAGAGAGAGAGAAACATTGATGTGAAAGGGACACATCGATCAGCTGCCACCCGCACGACCCAACCAGGGCCGGGGACAAACTGCAACCGAGGTACGTGCCCTTAGCGGGAACCGAACCCGGGTCTCTCGGGACCGCAGGCCGACGCTCTAACTGCTGAGCCAAACCGGCCATCAAACCTGAAGTTTTGATTGGATTCAGGTTCCACTTGTGGGGACAAAATTCCTCCACAGGTGCTGTGTGCTTCCTGTTGCGCCCCTGCAGGAGGCAAGTACTGTCCACCCTCTGAGCAGAGCTGAGAGGGAGCAGTGGGCTGCAGGGAGTTTGATGGCCATAGCCTGCCCCTCCTTGGTGATGATCCCCCATCGTCCTTCCAACTGACAATTTCATCCATAGATGAACTTTGCATGAATCGATTATTTCATGAGGGTTTGTGAAATGTTGATTTTCAATTCTATTAGTTCGTCATTTGTTAGCTGGAATTCTTTTTTTTTTTTTTAATCCTCACCTGAGGACATTTTTACATTTATCTTCAGATAGAGCGGGAGGGAGAGCGGGGGGGGGGGGGGGGGGGAGAGAAACACTGATGTGAGAGACACATTGATTGGTTGAAACCAACACAACCCCAACCGAGGCCGAGGACAAACCAACTGAGGTACGTGCCCTTAGCGGGAACGGAACCTGGGACTCTCCCGTCTGTGGGCTGATGCTCTAACCGCTGAGCCAAACCAGTCAGGGCGTTAGCTGGAATTCTTTAGTGAAAAACAGCCTTTCTCATCAAGGTTGTGTGCTCCCCTGAAGTGTGGTTTGTATGGGAAAGGCAAGAAAGACGCTGAATGTCCCCCTTTAACTGCCAGCTCTCAGAATGAACATGTGATACTTTGCCCTGGCCAGTAAACCACAGTGTTACTGCACGGGAGACACATTTGCGGCAACCTGCAGGCCTGCAGGAGGAAGCAGGGGGCATGGGAGAGAGGAACAGAGGAGAAACGGGCAGTGTGGTTGTGTGGTCTGCTTTTCTAACATCACAAAATAGAGATGATGCAAGGAGTGGTGGGGCGGCATCTGCAGCGGCTGGGAGTCCGCGCACACCATTCAAAAATGCACATCTCACAGTCTTTATTTTTTAAAATATGTTTTTATTGATTTTTTAGAGAGAAAGGGAGAGAGAAACATTGATGTGAGAGAGGAACATGGATAGACTGTCTCCTGCACACCCCGTACTGGGCATCGAGCCCACAACTCGGGCATGTGCCCTGACCAGGAATCAAACTGGGACCTCTCAGTCCATGGGACGTTGCTCAATCCCCTGAGCCACACTGGCCGGGCAACCGTCTTTTTTTTTTCCTAATCTTTATTGTTGAAAGTATTACAGATGTCACATAACTTATATGCATGTATGCATAACTATGGACACAGACAACAATGCTGGGGGCAGGGGGACAGGGACAGGAGAAGGGTGTCAATGGAAGAAAAAGGAGAAACATCTGTAACAAAAATAAATTAATAAAAAATAAAAATATTAAAATTAAAATTTTAGCCCTGGCCAGTTTGGCTCAGCGGTTGGAGCGTCGGCCTGCGGACCAGAGAGTCCCAGGTTCGGTTCCTGCTAGGGGCACGTACCAAAAAAAAAAAAAAGTATTACAGATGCCCCCCTTTCTTTTCCCCAGTGACCCCCGCCTCCCCATTCCCACCCTCCTCCTGCTTTCCCCAAACTATTGTCTGTGTCCATTGGTTATGCATATAAGTTCTTTGGATATCTGACAGTATTACTTATCAGAAATAGTGGATGAAAAGAGTAAATGATACCATGAATGTCGGCAAGAGGCTTTTAAGAAAGCGATTGTGTTTCTTCTTAGCCAAGACTCCTGAGCTAAGAAAGGATCTTCAAGGAAGGACCTCCTCCCTAGGAGGGGGCAGGGCGGAGCTCGTTATCCACACGAGCCCTGGCCCCACTGGATCTGCAGGTCCAGTACCTCTAGAATCAGTCCAGGACTTTGCATTTGTAATAGGAACTGCAGGAGACTCTAATGCTGGCTCCCTGGACTGCACTTCAAGAAATTTTGTGTCTCTTGCCCTGGCCGGTTTGGCTCAGCGGTTAGAGCGTCGGCCTGCGGTCCAGAGAGTCCCGGGTTCGGTTCCCACTAAGGGCACGTACCTCGGTTGCAGTTTGTCCCCGACCCTGGTTGGTCGTGCAGGTGACAACCACTTGATGTGTCCCTTTCACGTCGATGTTTCTTTCTCTCTCTTTCCCTTCCTCTCTCTCCCTCCTGCTCTGTCTGAATAAAGAATGGAAAAAAGCCCTCTGGTGAGGATAAAAAAAAAAAGAAACTTTGTCTCTCTTGCCCTGGCCAGTTTGGTTCAGAGGTTAGAGCTTGGGCCTGAGGACCAGAGAGTCCCGGGTTCGGCTCCCCCTAAGGGCACCTACCTTGGTAGCAGTTTGTCCCTGGCCCCGGTTGGGGTCGTGTGGGTGGTGACCGCTCGATGTGTCTCTCTCACGTTGATGTTTCTCTCTCTTTCTCCCTCTCTCTGTCCCGCTCTGTCTGAAAATAAATGCAAAAATATCCTCGGGCAAGGAAAAAGAAAAGAAAAGAAAAGAAAAGAAAAGAAAAGAAAAGAAAAGAAAAGAAAAGAAAAGAAAAGAAAAGAAAAGAAAAGAAAAGAAAAGAAAAGAAAAGAAAGAAAAAGAAAAGAAAAGAGAAAAGAGAAAAGAAAAGAAACTGTCTCTCTTGTCCTGGCCAGTTTCTCAGTGGTTAGAGTGTTAGCCCGCAGAGCAGTGAGTGGGTCGAGGATTTGATTCCGGTCAAGCACACATACCTTGGTTGCATTCCCCAGCCCTGGCCGGTCTTGCAGGAGGCAACCAGTCAATGTGGCTCTATCATGTTGATGTTTCTCTGTCTCTCTGTCTCTCCCTCCCTCCCACTCTATCTCATAATAAGCAGGAGAAAAAAAAAAAAAAAAGAAAGAAACTTAACAGTTAGCCTAGACTTAGGAAGAATAGATTGCAAAATGAGAAAGAAAAGACCTCAAAAGAAACTGTTTTGCCCAGCCTGAGTGGCTCAGTTGGTTGAGTGTCCTCCTGTACATATAAAGGTCACCAGTTCGATTCCTGGTCGGGGCACATACCTGGATTGCAGGTTTGAACACCAATCGGGAAGCATACAGAAGTCAGCGGACCGATGTTTCTCGCCGCCCCCGCCCCCTCGCCATTCTCTCCCTAAAAATGTCCTTGGGTAAGAATTTTAAAAATCCAAAACAAAAAAACTCGCCCAGCTGGTGTGTTCTATGGACAGAGAGGTGCCAGTTCAATTCCCTGTCTGGACACATGCACAGGTTGTAGGCTGGATCCCCAGTAGGGGGTGTGCAGGAGGCAGCTGATCAATGTTCCTCTCTCATATCATTGTTTCCATCTCTTCCTTTCTCCCTAAAAATTCAATAAAAACGTATTTTAAAAAAAGAAAAAGGGGTGCCCTGGCCGGTTTGGCTCAGTGGGTAGAGCATTGGTCCATGGATCAGAGTCACGGGTTCAGCCCTGGCCAGTTTGGCTCAGCGGTTGGAGGGTCAGGTTGCAGACCAGAAAGAGTCGCGGGTTCGATTCCAGTTGAGGGCAAGTGCTTTGGTTGTTGTTTGGTCCCCAGCCCTGGTTGGGGTCATGCGGGAGGCAACCAGTCAATGTGTCTCTCTCACATTAATGTTTCTCTCTCTCCCCCCCTCCCTCCCATTCTATCTGAAGATAAATGGAGAAATATCCTCGGGTGAGGATTTTTTTAAAAAAGAAAAGAAAAAATAGAAAACGGGGTGCTATAATAAATCTGACTAAACGTAACCTCACAGGGTGATCTGGTCATAAGTTCCTAA